AAATTTGTTACTAAAAAAAATGAAATGTTACATTTTAAATATGTCTTATTTATTCAAATACGCTAATATAAATTCCAGATTTAACTATTTGTTGAGAAACTTCATTAGTCATAAAATTATTCTAGTGTTACCTAATATTAAAATATGCGGTAGATTCGATTCATTGAAAAATTTTAAAAATCATGCATTTGATTTAATTTAACTGTATAAAATTATGAAGTTTTATATATTTCAATTCCAAATATCTCTTATTTTTGAAATATATGTTATTATGCGCCTATCAATTTTTTTAAAATGTTTTTTTTCGTTTCTATACTATGTTCTTATACAAATAAAAATTGTGTACAAGCAAACATATCTATGTGTATACAAATGCTTATATATTTTTTTAAATAATAGTTTCATAAAGTTTATACAATAAAAAATAGAATTATAAAAAATATAATGGAAAAATAATATGTACCTTCAATATGAAATCAATATTTTATATTTAAAAAAATTAATATAAAGTTATATTAACTATAATAATTATAATTGAATTATTCAATTGCAAAGATTTTTTAACACAAATAGAATGCTTACTTTTTAAATTATAAAATATTTAGTTTATTGTCTTGAAAATATGATAGAAGAAAATATTAGTATAATTACATAAATACCTATTGCTACAGTTACCGTGATTAATTATTTAATATGGAAACATTGTTTGATATCTTCAAATGAAAAGGTGTAGTCAAATTCTTTCTTCTCCTCAAACTATAAGATATATATTTAATATACACTTGCGTACGTTATCCTCTTAACATGAAATTATTAATATTTTTGATTAATTTTATTAATCGAATTAGATACAATACCTAAGTAAATACGGAAACCAACAATTTTATTGACAAATTAAAATTATATTTTAAAAATAAAAAAAATTAATAAAAATGTTCATAATATTATTTTGTTGATATTTAAAACGTAGTAGGTTATACTTAATATATCCTAAAAAAATATTGGAAGAGAAATAAAATAAATTTTTGACTCTACTTATTTAAATTTTAATCATGTTATAAATAAGTTATTTGAATAATATAGAATAAAATATAAAATATTCTGAAATGGAATCGTTTTAATTACACATTTCATAATTTTTTTTTTAATAAATTATGATTCTTTATTGAGAAAAAATTTTGATTTTCCTTTATTAAAATGACATAATCTCAAAATTATTAGAGAAACACGGGGAGTTGTTGTGTATGAGTAATAATATATACCTCAAATCTCGTAAATTAGTGATTTTAGGCTTAAGTTATAATAAACAAAAATTATTATCTAACCTAGTTTGATAACTGTATAAAATTTAATAACATTATTGTCATTATTATATTGTTAACAACTAATATAAAATTGGTTATACACCCAAAGAAAAACCTCAATCAAAATTGAAAGAGAAATTTTATCAAGGGTTTATGATAATGTTTTATTAATACGAACAAAATAACTATTCTTATAAATAATTATTGTTCAAGACAAGAAAAAAAATATCATATTGATAAATATATCATTGATTCAATAGTAATGATATATTTATCATATTGAACAATGAATTTATTATATAGATCGAGGTTTTTCTCTGGGTGTAGTGATATATAATTTCAAGTTTATCAAAACCTCTAATTAAAAACTCTTAAGATAAAAGTTATGATTTTAATAATGATGTTATAATAAATATAAATGTATACTTGTATAGTATAGTATACTTTTAAATTTATAGCAGAAAATTTTTTTTTATAAAAATCATTAGTTTTACTGCAAATAATATTTAGTTTAGGTGAATCATGCGTACTAATAAATATGAATTATTATAGCTAATAAAACATAGCTTCATATTATATGAGAAAAATGTACAAATTGTTTGAGAAGTACAATATAAGAAAGATTGAAAGGAATAATTTTTAATTTTTCTTTATCCTACATTAAACGTATTAAGGTTAAGGTATTTTTTATATCCTAAAAAGGAGGTTGATTAAGGGGACTAAAGTTTTACGTTTCCCTAAATTTTCTACATTTTACAAAATAGTTTGTGATCATTTTAAATTTAATAAAACCAATACAGTATTTTTTAAAATAATTCATATATTCTTTATTAAAAAAATGTTTCAACTAAAAATCTATAATTTTCAAAGATTACCAGGAATTAAGTTATTAGATAAAATAAGTTTTAAATAAATACAAATAAATAATAACTTACAGTATTAGTTTTTCTTTAAATGTATGCCATTCTCCGTATTTCCCTAATCTTAAGTCGTTTTTCTAAAATAATATCTAATTATTATTCTAATTAGATCAATTTTACATTATTAGAAACTAATAGGAATAGTATTTTATTGTTTGTTTTTTATTAAATTATTATTCTTTCAATAAGTAATAATAAAAATTAATTAATCAATATTTATTAGATCATTTATAAAACAATTGTTCCTAAAAAATCTAATAAACAGTTGAATGAAAAATGTTGATCTTATATTTTGCTTTAGGTTTTATATTTGAAGCTTTAAATATGTTAACTATTTTTATGAGAGCCATTAAGCATATAAAAACTTAGTTTAGTTAGATTATCACTATTACATAAGATATAAAGGAGTTTTAAAAAAGAACAAGGTTTATTATAGAAACCAATCCCTACCCAGAGTATTGTTATTTTTAAACTATTTACAAAAAAAATATTTTGTTTATTATCTTGTATGTGTGATTTGTAGTATCACTTATATTTGCAGGCGCCATTATTTAGAAGGTTTATATTAAAAAGAACTAAAAAAACTTTTCAATTACCTTGAATTTTAACTTAAAATAATTAGATAAAAAAATTATGAAACTAAAGTTGACAGTAAGAAACATCCCATAATCATTCTAATGAATAAAAACTAATTGTTTAATGTCTTAATTTTACGTTTTCATTTAAAATGTATTAATTGTGTCAAAGAAAGAGAATTATTAATTAATTATTTTTATTGGTAGTCAATTATCTAGGATAAGTGGAATAATTTAGAAAATCAAATCTAATTTAAAAATATACTTTTTCAATTTTACACATTTTTATTCTATATTTAGGTCCGTATCAATAATTTTATACATTGTTATTTGATGAAGAATTTAATTTCTGTATTAAATTCTCGCCTTAATTTTAGTATACGCAACCAAGAATACATAAATATGTAAATCTTGTTACAATGCACTAATGTCTTTTAGCTTCTATCAAGTTATTTTATTAAGATTTTAAGATGCTCTTTATTCTAAACTTCTCCCTAGTTGATTAATTGATTTACGATGATTATGATTAAGTCAACTGGATGAATTATCATTAAAAGCATCGTTGAAAAATTAAACAATAAGACCAAAAAAAAAAAAATATGCTAATTAATAAACTTATTTGGGTTAAAATATTGTTGAAAGAATTGTTCATAAGTTTTTTATTTAATTTGACAAAACAAAATAAATAATCCTATTTAGCGAGCCATGTAAATAATTGAACATTATTTAGAAAAAAATTAATTTTCCTCGTTAAAATTCCATCGCCTTACATACCCTTAAATATGGTTTAATCACTTGTTCAGACATTATTCTAGCGGTGTTGATCATACTTAAAGGTTTGTGAGTCGATAGCGATTTTAAAGACATTAAGTTTACTTGACTTACTGTATATTACCTCTCATTTAATGTTTTAGTACTTCATTGATAATTTTTTAATAATTACTTGTACTATTATTTTTCAAAATAATTTGAAACAATTTTAGTGGTAGAAAAAATAGTAAATTAATTATTATGTCGTACGATCAACAAATATCATAAGATATAAACTTTGACTTGTTTGATATTAACATAAGTCGACTCAAGCAATCGCATAAAAGAGTTGATGTTTGTATATTTTTATTTTCATGATTTCTTTTTAATAGTTAACTAAATTTTTATGAATTCATTATTATCTATAAGTTATGAGCTTTCATAAAAGTATAATTTATTCAAAAAATTTATATTTTTAGTATCAAAAAAAAAGAAGAAATTTACTGGAATTAAAAAGTTTTTATTATTAAATAGTATAATAAAAGTATTCTTTTGAGTTAAAATGTATTAAATATAAACAATTATGAATTAAATGTCATATTATACAATTATTTATTTCCTTGAAAAACCCCTTAAATTCCAATTTTTCCCACCTAATTTAAATAAACTAACTATTAATTTTAGTGAATTTATTAAAAAAAGCAATTTATTGTAAATAATTATATTGCAATAGTTTTCCTATATAAATTTTTATCGTTTACAACGTTATTACATTAATATACAGAATTTAATTGTAGAAACATGTAATTATTCTTATGATCACAAAATAGAAAATGAATTAATATTAAAAATGGCTATACATTTAATACCAAAAATATTTCATCTTATTTGTTTGGTTCCGAAAAATAAAAATATCTCATAAATTTTACTACGCAAAAATGTAAAAATACAATAAATTTTGATATAGGTAAGATATAATCAATATTTTTAGAAAATATTTGATGCATTAATTCATCTATGAAATCATATGATTTGCATATTATTATTATAGTTTAAAGTTAAAATATTCTAATTATAATTATAATTTTCCACTACTAAAAATTAATCTTCCCGAAAATTAAATAGACACGGTCTAGTACGATCGAGTTAATGTTGTGTAATTTGTGTTTTTTTATATGGCTGCTTACTTCATAACTTGTAATGCAATACCTTTTAAAGAAATACAAAACGGCTATTGTAATTAACATAGGTCCCGTGTGTCTCCTTTAGGTACGACACAGTAATGAGTATCTATTCTAAATTATTTGTGATGAATAATATAAATATTTGACCAAATGAATTTGTAATAATGATCTCCAAGTTTATTAAGTTAATGACTTTTTAACATTGGCTGAAATTATAGTAAAGTTGCACCAAAAGATATTTGAAAAAAAAAGTACGCAATACGAATGATTTTGTGACAAATATTTGTTTTAATTTATTTGTTTTTAAGAATAAATAGTTTTAAAAAAATAACACTTTATTTATCATGCAAACAACTTTTTTTTTGAAAATAAATTAACATAATACACTAGTCAATATGTTGATTCATCAGTGAAAAAATCGACCAGTGTTAATAAATAATGATAAATCTCTTAAAAATTAAAAACATCAGTGTCTTATAAAGGTACAGAGTTGTCGGTGGTGCTACGTAAGGGTTCTTCGTAGACGGGCATGTAAGAACTATAAGCCATGTTGGAGGCAGCAACTGATGCTGCTTCCCCAGGAAGACTTCTGCGATAATGGCTTCCGTGGGAGACGTATTCGTGACTACCACCATGTTCACCGATCAGTTTCTTTAATCCAATAATGGCGGAAAGGGTTAGTGCTAACTTAGCGATGATGAGTGCTTTTCCAGCCAAAAGAGCCAAGGTTCCGAAAGCCAATGGTATGGTCATACCACCCATCATAAATGGGTACATAAGAAGCGAGTTGTATTTGCTAGTTTTCTTGCGGCCTAATTTAACAGATAAAAACAACACTAAAAGATTAGATCATTCAACTCTACACCAGGAATTGTAACAGTATTATTATTAAATAGGATTAGACTATTTTGGTAATAAAATAAGAACAATTCAATTCCAAATAACTTATCAGAACAATATGTATGGGTGTATGTTGACTCAGCATGGCATCAATGAGTGATCAGAAATACTAATAATAACACTTAGTAAAAAACATTGAGAAAACAGAACATCAGAGATTAATAGTCCAACGGATGATAATAGAACACGCGATATTTAATAATTTAAATGAAAGAAAAGGGAAAATTGTTTGAATAACCAAACAGATGGGCTATCAATAATATTTATGATAAATTTGAGATTTTTAATTTAGGGTCAAACAACGGATAACATTAAGAAGGTGGGTGCATTGTTGTCAACGATTATTTTTAAATTAACTTAACATAGTACTAATAGAAAAAAAGCATCAATCTCTATGGCAATGACGGGTCTATTGATTTTGATCTCGATAAGTGACCCCGATACCGCCTATGTCGAACGTATATTTATTATAGTCTGGTATTTAATTGTTTCCCAAAGATTCGCGTGCATTTAAAATTCTATAACAATGATATAGAAAATAAAATCTAAAGAGACACGCCATGAGTAAAACTCATTTTCCGGGTCATCGTTGATTCTTTACTACAAAACGTCAAACTATGATTTGTATTAAATTTCATTTTAAACGTTAGCAACACTAATGATGACTTGCGGTACGTACGATTTTATATTGTTATGCACCTCGTTTTACTACTCTGTTATTGAACACACAAATATCGATATGATTTTTAATATGAATGCTTTATTTTTAAAACGTCCATAAAAAATATCGAACTACACAATAAGATTATAACAGAAACTAAACAATTTAGATTTTTCCCAGTCATTTTATATTGAAGTGTTTTGATAGCAATAGTAACATATGCTATTTATGGGAAACGATTTTGTGTAGTTACATGAATCAAGAGTTTCATTTTCATAAATTTAAAATGTTTTCTCTATTTTTTTTCTAGTTCATATTAAATATTATTATTTAAGTTATGAATACTTTTTCTAATTAGAATTTAATTAGAATTATTAATTTCCAATTATTCAATATAAAAAAAATTATAAAATAGTTTTGTGAGAAGGGGTCAAGTCAAATTTTGTCAATTTCCATTGTATTTTTAGGTATCAGTGTTGTTTTTATTGATAGTTAAGTAATTTTTTTATTTTTATTTAAATATCCCCATTTACCACTACGTAAAAATGTTTTGTTTTTGGTTTTAAGAAAAATAATCAATTTTGCTTGACTATCTTCTCATAAAAACCATCCAATTGAACCCAATTAAGGCACGAAATATTTCAACTGAGTAATGCAAACTCTAAAATATATCTAATAACATAAATTTATCACATGCAACACTTAAAAATTATTGATATTTTTGAAAAAAAGATTTTATTTAGTGGAGATTTATGTACAGTACGATACTTTTAATATTAAGCCCTTCGATTTCTTTTAAAATACAAATTATATTAAGAATATTATTTTTGATATTTTTTAATTTTATATATTTATTTATTATTAAGTATTTTTTTAATTAATTCCTCAAACCATATAAGGCTTTTAATTTTGTTTTTTTACACTGCAAAATATATTTTTAATTAGCTTATGAAATAAAAAGTGATCTAATTAAGAAAATGACTTATTTTAATATTTCAGAATTTGATTCTATTTTAAAATAAAGAGTGTAGATGAGATGTGAGTTATGTCATTTTCATCATTACGAATGACTATGTAATGCTTTTTATCCACTCTACAATTTAAAATGTTAATAACTTTCGAAGTACTCTTTTAAAAGTTGTTATCGACCAGTAATTTATTTAACTAGATTACTTTTTATTTTTAACTAGTTTGATATAAATGTCACAATTAAAAAAATTATGTTCACCCTTATAAGGTGCAAGGAAAAAAATATTTTATAATTATAAATCGAGAAATTTATGGAACTAAAAAAAAATCAAAACAAAATTTGTTTTTATAAGAAATCGATATTTAAAGAATTACTCTGTATTTATTTTTATAAACTAATTATATTCGAGAAAAATCATATTCATTTTATTACTGATACGTTAGTTGAGAATAAGATAATTAATTTAATCATATTGTGTACCAATTTATAATCTTGTTAAACAAATTGCGTATTTACATTAGGATTTAAAAATTAATCTGCATAATATCCATTTTACTGATTCAAAATATCGGTCACCCACTTTAACAATACCATCAAATGAACATACCTAAAAAAACTTAATTTTCTATGAAAGACATTTCAAAAATGAAAAAGAAAGTAAAAATTAATAAAAAAAATAATTCCTTGTAATTTTGGACGGCTAAATATTAAGCAATGGATACTAATTATGTAAAGATAAATAGGAAACTCTTGTAGAATATTCAGACAACAGATATTCCTAAAAGTTACTGCTTTTTGAGATTAAACGATGTTAAAAGAAATTAAGGATACTTCAATGTATATTATTAAAATTTACACTCTCATTAAAAAAAATGAAATTCGTTGTTTATACTGTGTATTTAAACAAAATATTTGAAAATATAATTGTTTAAAAATAGAAAATATTATTTTTAGAAAATTACTTGTACGGAAAAATGTATTCCATCAAGTTATGAAATATCATTTCTGGCGTGTCAAAAAATTAATAAAAATAATGTTTGATACTATAAAATTTACATGAGAATCGGCTTAAATTTCTTAAATAAACAAAATGAAATTTTTATAATAAAATTAAGTTGTTTGTAATAAAATAATGAATTTTTGTAAACAAAAGTATTATAAATTACTTTATCCAAATTTAGGAAAGAAATTTTATATTCTAAATTTTACATCAAGTATCAACTATTGATACTAATATTTAAATTATATTTCCCTAAGTTTATAAATTCTTCTCGTTAAATAATAAATTATTATATAGTTATTACTTATAACTATAATTTTCGTATTATTATTTTGTACTAACCATCGCCCAAATTTCGGGATTCTTCATCGATTAATTTAAACTGCACATTACGAGTTTTGAAAAAATTGACAATCTTATCTATAATGGCAGCATCTAATTTCGATTCATCGGATGACCTAGCAACATCTTCAGGAGTGTCTTGTATTATTGCATTTGGATCTCTGACCAACAAGATACCGTCAAAAATTTCCATTTCTTGTTGTTCACTCACCCGATCGATGGCTGTCAACACCTTGTGTTTAAGACATGGTACGAACTGTAAAATAATAAATGCACTTATTTTTGATACCAGTGGATAGGCTACTGTTTGTACAGTTTTCACGAAACGAGTTTTACCTGAGTCTTAGAGCAATCCTGAACCATTTTGAACATGACGCGCATATCCCCAAATCCTGTGTCGATTTTGCGACTTTCTTCGGCTGAGACAAGTACGACGCAAACACACACAAAAACAACGACCGGTCGGAACATGATAGTATTTTAAAGGCCTTAGAGATTAAGTTAACGTTGTAAAATATGGCACTTGAATTGCTGTTCTTAGGCTAAATACCTCGACTGGCACTCGCGACTGAGTACGACACAATTACGAAACGGCGAACAAACTCGTATTTTTCACAAATATTGCCGTACTTCGAGTGTTGGGTGATTTTTATACGGCGCCGTTTGTCCTCCCACCCTGTTAGCCTAGTCATAACATCCCTACGGACGCCTACAGCGAATCCCCCGTCGTCTACCTGCCTGGTACACATTCGTCCCACCTAGAACAGCGACACAATAAAAATAATAACAACGTTAATAATTTCGACGGAATGCCGCACCGCCGCCCGCCTACTGTCGTATAAATGATAAGTGGAGCTTGACTGATAGGTGACCGGGTGGTGACGACGGCCGTGTCGAGGAAGAGGAAGACTTCACGTGACGAAGACCTCTTCTGCTGTGCGGAGGGCCATTTACGTACTTACTCGCGAAAGCGCACCGTGTGAACGAATTTCCCAACAGAAGCGTGAGCATATATGAAAACTAAAATGTGAATTTGATATGAATAAACATTTTTATGTTTCTCTGTCCAGCCATTATCACAGTGTTATAAACGACTGTATAGCACATTTTTCCGTATTGTAACAGTTCGCAAAACGATTTCATTTGACGCGATCATGTCCTCCTATGAAAATACATTTCTTTAGCAAACGTCCATCACAGCAAAATGATGACGAACCACTATTGTTATTTTTTATATTATTGATTTGTTGGTATTTGAGTTTTTAACATTTCTAAAAGCCCATTTTATTTTTCAGCAATTATAATATTATTCTGCGATTCTTATTAATTTATAATTTCATGATTTTTTAAATATTCTAATTTACTTAAATAAATACACAGGGACTTGAAAAATGTATTTATTAAATTATCAGTAATACATTTTGTTTTATTAGGAAATAAAAAGTAAATTTTTATTCAAGTTTAATACAAATGAAAACAAATATAATCTTTATACTTGGTAAGAAACCACGGAATGGAATTTACAGATACTACTAGTATAGTTTTGATATCATATTATCAACTGTTAATTTAAAGGTACTAGAAATTCATTTTTACAGTCACAGGTCAATGTTGTTGTATCATATGGCTGTTCACAAGGTACATAAACAATATAATATGTAGCCTTCAGTATGCCGTTTTTAATAGGATAATGACCCATAAACACTACCTTTTTACATAAGTGTTTATTTACACTGAACATTATATACTTATTGTAAAAAACCATCGAGTTTTCTACATATTACTCAAAGAATCTTTTTAATACAATTGATAATAAAACTAGTGTAATAATTTAATGTAATTTTTATTCATGTTGTTTACTCAGTCAAATTCTTAAGGGGAACTTTATACAATCAAAATTTTCATTTTGAGAGTTTATTAAACCTTATTTTTCATACATAATTTAATTTTATTGTTTAACAAAGATAACTAATCACTTTCAAGTAATTTTATAATAATGTAATATTGACATCGAAAATATTACTTAATTTAAAAATGAACTAATGTGGATAATTGAAATTTTTATTAATCATTAACAACTAACTAACATTAAAAAAGCTATACATTTGTTATAACTTGAAGAATAATCAATAATATAGTTCTATTACTAATCATACGGAATTTAAAAGTGAAATTTAATCCATAAAAAATAGTATGCTCTATTTAATCAAAATTTAATAATTATTTATCAAGTAACAGCAGATTTTTTATTAAAATAAACAAAAATGTAAGCCATCCATGACTGTCAGGTCTTTTATTACAATTTAGTAACTATATATTTATTAACATTCTGTAATTATTAACTCCAAACCGTAGTTAATTCTACTGCCTTAAATTTTACAATTTTATTATTTTCAATAATCTTAAAGATTTAAGATAAATTTAAAACATATTTTTGTAATACTAAACAATACATTTAGAAATGTTTAGTCGGATCATAAGATTCACGAGTGAAAATCTGCTCATAATTGTTATACGTGTGAATAATAGAATGTGAAATATCAAAACATTAAGAAAAATTGTCGATCAATTCATATAAATGTTTATTGTCGGAGAAATCATTTAAAGTAAACTCATCTTCAATTTTTTAAAAAGAAAAAATTAAAAATATTAGGTCAAATTTATTGTTTAATTAAATTTTAATAAATATATAAAAGATATCAATTCAAAATTCAGTCTTATGTAAACATACTACATGAAAAATCAAATTAAATAACTTAAAAATATGAATTGAGATGACATGAAATAATGACGAAAAATTATAAAAAGTTTTAGATTGATTAAATGTAAATAATTCATTTGTTTGTTATAATTTTTATTTTTTGCTAATGTGAAATGAAAAAATTATAAAAAAAATACTCATGGCCTAATTTTTCATCAAAGGATATCCGGATAGTCTGTTTTAGACTATCGTCGGTAAACTATATTCAATCACACGTATCAAAATATAATTGTTCATTGTACTTGACTGGGGCATGTGGGTATCAATAACAATACATAGGTCGACTTCTAATTATCTAAATATATTATAGTTCCCTTTAGTGTTAATTTTTTTTTCATAATTAAATTAGTTCAATAATAAACAATATCATTTTATGAACCAATGTTTTCTTGTGCAACAAAAATAGGGTCATCGAATTAAAATATGCAGAATATTTTTGGGCTTATAATTTTTATAATATTACTCCTAAAAATAATTTTCTCATTATTATGTAAATTAGTAAGACACTTCAAATTAAAAGTACTTTTAATCCTGCCTATAATTATATAAAACTTAATATTTATAAACGTGCATATATGTTTATGAAACTTCTTAGGTATTTATAATAATTTAAAAGATCCGTATTATAATTTGTCAAGTAATAAGTCAGATTTTTTGTTCAAATTTTCAAAATTTGATTTAAATATTTCATTTTACTTTCTTAGTGAACAGTATAATAATTTTTTTTTTAAGAAAAAAGTCTAATGAAAGAAAACTAAAAAAACTAAAGGATTAACGTTCTTTTTAGTAGTTTTATGTTGAATCTAAAATGGCATAGTTTCTGAAAAATACAATTGTTTTACATTTACATCAACAAAATAATACAAATTTCAATCGTATTTTGTTTTACACTCTGGTGATGATAAAATGAGTTTTATTTTAATTTTCAATTAAACATGTAATAATTGAACAATATATGTTGAACGTTTTGATGTTGAATAATTTTAGAGTATTTATTATTTTGTATACATTACTTTTTGTTCCATTTACATTGTGTAAATAATGGAAAATTAATTCCTCAAATTATTTTTTAAAGCTAATAAATTATAAAAGATACTTTTATAATAAATTTAATATAATATAATAAACTTATGAATAAGAATTTCTGGCACATGTATATTTACTAGAACGAAAATTCAATAGCCATGTATTTTATTATTTCTTCATACAATAAAATGTCATGGGCAATAGCTACTACTAAACACTATGTTATAATAACCAATCACTTTTTTTTAATATGAACATATTATTTTGATGATGAGTTTCAAATTTAAATTTATTTGGTTCGTAAAATAGGTCGTATGATGAATGAATGTAAGAATTTTTAAGTATCGATTTCCAGAGCAACAAATACAAGGCATAGTGTAACTACATCATTGTATTTTAGATATTCATACAAATCAATATATAGGTAAAAAAGATGAAATATTAAAGTATATTTTTGGATAGATATTTTATAAAATGATAAGCTTAATAAAATTAAAAATCATAAATTCATACTACAATTATTATATAACTATAATAAACACAGTAAATTATTTTTTAATTATTCATCATAAAATAATTAGTTATACTTTTAATTTGATTTTTATTGTTCATTTTTACATATGTCATCAAGACAATATAAATAGTTTAGACTCGTTGCTTTATAAATATCATACAGATGATTACCTTACAAGGTATACACCGCTGTGAAAAACGAATATTTTTATAATATTTCTGTGATTTTTTTCAAAACTTTTACTTTTTCTTTAAAATTTTATAAGCCAACATCATACGATATATAATATATCGTAATATATTCAGAACATGGTTAAAAGAAGTTTCCGGTCCATTTCCATTTATTTTCCATAAATATTTTCCTGAATTTTCTATATTCCCAAGACATTATTATAATACTACATATATATTTTTACTTCCGTACTCATAAGGCATTATGTTTTTTAGTACAATTGTTTATAGATCTCACTTTTGAATGTAATTCAAATGTAAAAACAAAATTATTTATTACGAAAAAGCTTTCTTTTTTTTTAAAGTGTATAGTTCTGTTAGTTATTAATCTTATGATATATTTTTTTAATAAATTGTAAGTAAATTTTTTAGATGTATGGTATTTTTAAACAACAATTTTCATAACATGGTTTATTTATTTTATGTTCCTCGTGAAACAAGAGATTTCAAGAAAACTGTTATGTTAAAAAAATGATCCCAATGCAATCTTAAAACTAGATCTTTAGGACAGTCTTGAAAAAAGTTCTGATGATAATATTTTGTTCAATCATAAAATTTATTAAAAATCTATAATCTAATAAACATTCCAAGTTTTATATAATACAAATTGATCACTTATGCAAAATATTTAAAATTACAACTATTTTAAAAATATTAACTTAAAACTTAAAAAGTCACAACTAAATTACTGAAAAATAGCGGATATATATTTTGGGTACAATGTTACCATTATCAACGCTAAACACATACTGATACCCCAATCGGAAAAAAACTGCTTATATACCCCTAATGACGTTATCACTAAGTAATATTATCACATTTTTCCAGAATACACAAGTTTAATAATAAATTTTTCAGTGGGCCAAAATCCCAATGAATGAAACTGTTTTTATTTTGACACATTTCAATTGCCTCCTTTATATTAAGTTATTTGTGATTATTTATGTTTTTTAGCTTTGATGCAAAGCTGAGAAGGTATTGGTTTTACTAAGATGTGTTTTTTTTTTTTTTGTGTCTGTTACCACTTTTTCTCAGCTCTCACCGAACCGATTTCTTTCAATGATACGTCAAAAAATCACAAATCGTATCTAGTCGAAGACATTATCCTCAA